GCCACGGGCAAAATATAGTATGATATAATAGGTATAATATTATTATGTTAAATTAAAAAGAAATAAATTTGAAGAAATGAATTTGTTCCTATGCGACTGTTATCTGTACTGCATGTTTATTTCCATAATAACAGGTTGTTTAACGTCCCTAAAGTAATAATATTAGAAAACAATGCACATTTCCATGCTGGTGCATAATGAACATCGACAGGGCGTAGTTTTATAGATAAGTGGCCGACAGGTAAAACACGTCTTCTCGTTACGAGCATGTGACCGCTCAAGTAGGCACTTAAAGGTGTGTTAAAACTAGTTAATGATTATTTTTATTTTTAAAGATTAAAATAAAAGTAATTATTTAACGAGTTTTAAATGTTCTTACTTAGTGTTCTTAGTTCTGGTAAAATTAGGTCTGTTTTTTGCAGATCTACTAGTTTAACTAACAGTTCTTCTGAACTCTGCATGTATATCAAAGCAAAAGTTTAGAATGTTTTAGATCCTAAATAACATTTATAAAGGTATTTTTACTCTATAAACTTACCTTACTTTGTTTACCAAAAATGCTTTTTTTTTTGCACCAAAAGTGATACGTTCAACTGTTAAGCATCTCTTCTCTACGACGAGAAAACTACTTAAATAGGTTGTGGCGCGCGCCAGTCTCGCATGTAAACAAGAGATAGGTTCGCGTTTGGTTCGGTTAGTTTTGACTAATATGCAACTGTTCTTGTTCTTTGGAAAAGTTCTTTTTTTTTTTCATTTTCTTCCGCTCGGACAGATGAACCAACAAGTGAATAATTCGCTTTCAATACTACAACCGATGCGTTTTGTTATCGCTGATATACTTTAGAGTTTTCAATCCAAGGGTAGGAAAGCGAGAAATTTTAATTTTTCCTTTTAATTAAAAACCCATTTTTAATGACAAGCTCTAATGTATTTTGAATTGATACTGAACGATATTTGATTGATATTAAACGGCGTAATCCTTTAAGCCTTTGAAAATACATGTCGTTTGTTCACTCTAATTACATAATAATGTTTTAAATAGACGCGGGTTACGCAATTCAAAACCAAGTAGCCGTGTCAAAATACTAAAAAACAAGTCCCATTAAAGGTGGTCTATATAAAAAACCAGTTTAGTCATCCACAATTACTGATTATTATAAGGAATGTTAAATGTATGACGCTTTAGAAGTGTTTTTGCAAGGAAACTGACATAAATGTACTGACAACGATACGTACAGCAAACATTTTGTTTCATTTGTTTCAGAATATAAAAGAAAACGTGCAGCACAATGATAAAATCTATAGACAATTACTTTTTTTACAATACTTTACAAAATTACTTCAAAACTAATTTAATGTATTCTTTGCACAAATTATCTGTAACGAAACCGATAAGATGAAAAAGTTGTCCATAGAGGTATTCATAATTTTACACTGTCATATTTACATTTGTAGCGGATACTAGAAGAACAGAGACTTCAATTCATACATTAAGTTTTGGCTTCAAAAATATGTTAACTTGATGGTTGAAATGTATTATGTGAAAATAAAAAAAATATCTTGACAGATCTCACACACTGCTATCTGTCGTCATATAAGGCAGGGCCTCAGCTATAGTAACGAAACTTTTGATAAACTATTTACATACTCGTATATATTGATTTTAAACTATATAAATAGTTTAACAAAAGTTTCGTTACTAGATGTTTTTGTTTAATGCCTCTCACCTACGCACTGAAGTATCCACCGACAACAATAGTAACCTGTAATTGGAATACCAATTCTTGTAACTAACAACATACAGACGCATTACAATTCCGAACTTATTATGTTTAAAGCTTACCATTATTTTTCAAAAAACCGACAAATGAATAACTAAATTAAAACTATATATTTTCGATAGAAAGAAGAAGCTAGGTAGTGTTAGTTATCTATATATATAAAAGAAAGAAACTGACAGACTGATTCGCTGACTGATCGATCAACGCACAGTTGCAACCTTTAGGTCTAGAAGTATGCGGTGTGCACTAAGAAAGGATTTTAAAAAGCTCACCCCTAAGCATGTATAACAGGGTTTGAAAATTTATATGAAAATTCGTTATTTTTAGGTAGTAGCGTATCCTCTACGATGTCTGATGTCGACCACCACGCGGACGAAGGCACTGGCAAAAGCTAGTGAACTTTTTTTTTTATAATCCACCCAATCATGTGACAGCTATGATATTTGTATAAAGTTTTGTAATAGCTTATACCATTTTTCCGAATCTAGCTTAGTATTAAAAATTAAATACATAAATTTAAAAATGTAATTCGAATTTTATTTTAAAACATAATTCTATGTTTATTCCCCTTTAAAACTTGTAATTTATTTGTAAAAATCAAATTATAATTCAAACTACGTACACATTGCAGGTAGTTTCAGTTTATTTTTTTAAATGTATCTATGTGAAATAATCAATAAGTAGATTGTAAAAAAATGTAAAAGTGTACAATCAATGCATGATTTAAAATGTGTCTTCACAGAGACTGATACAATGACATCGTTTTAATCGATTAGAATATGTGTGACAAACATAAGTTGATCGATTCCTTAATTATCATTAATATTAACATTTTCAATAATTAGAATTAATACTATGTAATTTGATCGGTAATCGTTAATGGCCCGGTCGTTATTCCGTCAAATCATGATAATCACTTGTTGCTTTTTACGTACCTATTTACGTAGCTAGTGTGCTTTTTGCGTTTTGTGATTTACATGTTTTTATGAGCTATTTTTGTTTTTTTTTTCTAGTTTCGGTTTGTGTTAATTTGTTGATTAACAAAATGGATAAGGCATTTTGCAAAGAGTTTAGGGCGTGTGGCATTTGTTTTGCACAAAATTCGGTGCTTTCTTTGATTATTTACCGATGTATTTGATGTGGGTATTTTTGAGGCTGATGCCATCAGGAATTGTATTTGCAACTCCTTGTTCCCGCTATTAATTGAAGTTGCTATTTAATTAATTGATGGTAAATAAATTTAAAACTATCAAAAAAAATTGATTCTTTCTTAAATTTACTGTACTTATAATTTAAATTCGAAATAAGTATATATATGTTTTAGTTCGATTTTATCATTGCTTTATCTATAATAACTTTAAATACCTAATGTCACATAAACCATTCAATGGAATACAGTGTAGATGTCCGAAAGGTAACGAAGTGACTATTTTGTGTCTGTGTCTGTGTATTTAAAAATAGTTTGAAATGTCCAAGAACAGAAACACTAGTTTACGCTTAAGTTACTTGGTATTAATATTGAGTATATATATATTATAAACTATAAAAATAAGGAAGAAAGAAAAATAAAGAAGAGGAAGGCTATTTGCTATTTAATATCATGCGATAACAAAAACGTTTTGTCGGCAATTTCGCTGTATGAAGCTAAAAATGATATTTAGGTAACTAGAACTAGACTTTTAGAATATGGACAGGACTGCACTTGCATTTCGAGAATTTAAAAAAAAACGAATTGATCAAACAACTAATCATCCACATTTGTCTTTTTTGCATTCGTTTCAAAACTGTTTATGCTGCTGTTAATAGTTCTGGCATGAGAAAGAAAGAAAGAAAAGACATTATCTAATGATGACAAACGAAATCAACTATTGTATTTACATTGTACAAATTAAGATTCTGAAACCTTGTGAGTTTAAAAGGCAAAAAGACAAATTAATTTGAAGTAAAGGTTTTTACGGGTTAAGTAAAGAACCAAAAGTTTTGATGCAAAATATATGCTTACACATCTTTAAAAAAATATCTAAGGTGTTCCATATTGTATATTAGTAACTTTAGATTATTTATCATTTGATTGCGATAACGGATGACAAAAGCTCTTCTCTTTATTTCTTTGAGTATTTTTTTTCAATGTTGTTAAGTTCTCGTGGATGGTTGGCCGCAAACGCCATCACATGCATTTTGACTGTTATTTCGTTATATCTTGTCCTTTAAAATCAGCACGGATTCATTATTTGTAGTTTGCCAAAAGCGGTTATGAGATAATTTTCCTCCTCTCAGTGCCACCGTTACTGATTAATCGACGTGTTTGTGAACTTATGCATTTTTGGAGGTCAACTGGTTTTAAATTTTAAGAAACAAAAATGGCATATCTTTCAAGTGTTGGGTAGAAAAGTTTCATTTGTGAACCGGCTTACGAACAGATTTAAGTAGGCCAGCAGCGGTCGTCTCACGCAACACGATGCCGGTAGCTCTTGGCACTATTATTGTCGGTTCTACGTAAAAGTATTTTTCGTTTTCACTATGTACTACAAATATTTTAAATATTATTTGCGAGCGCTTATTACGCGTATGTAAATAATTAATTAAAATCAACAAACCAGCATTTTTAGTTTGAAAATGTCAGTCATTTAAGTAGTGAAATAAATCTAATAGTCGTAGTTATCTACTTACTCATTCATTTTCTTACAGTTGTAATAAAACAAATAAACTAATCAACAGGTGGTACAAAAATGAATGAAATTTATTTAGATAAGAAAAGCTGAAACTTCAACAATGACGAAGATAGTTATTTGTTTACTGGTATTATCTTTCCTTATAGAGAACTGCTGTTAAATTCTACCTGCTACCTTGATGGCATCTCCAAGAAGTTTAAAACGGAAGTACAATCTTGTAATTCTTATCAAGCAATATCAACAATGAAATACTGCTGTCTTATGGACTTCACATTATTAAGCCAAAACTAAATATTCATATCATAATTTTCTCTTACAAACAAATACTTAGTCATTAGACGTCTGATACATATTTCAAAATAATTTTAACCACTTTAATACGTAAGCAGTATGTAAAACACATTTTAACGAAACGAGCAAGTTATTCGTAGGTGTACTTACTGAATTGTAAATTTTTTGGTATGTTATTTACATGAGATGTCACGTGCTTCGATGTAAACAAACCGGTTTACAGTGCTGCAGTTTATCATTGACGGAGGCCACTTACCGTTCTCACAGGTGTATCCCCAGTCTGCCATTATGTGCTATGATGCTTATCACCGGTGATGACTGGTCGCAAAATCGCAAGGCTGATTATTGCGCGTGTTTACTAAGTGCACGGGTGAACGTGGTCGGGTGCTGACTGCGTGCGAGTGTCGCGGCGGCTTAGCTTTATAGAAAGGCCAACGTCGGTTGAGCTGAGGCGGTCGCGGGCGCGGGTGCGGGTGCGGGACTGGCGCCGTCGATGCCGCGGGACGTGAGGCACTGGCACGCGCGCGCTCCGCCGGCCCACTGCGCGCGCGGCGCACTACACTTCGCGCAGTGCGCGCCTCCGCCCCTCCGTCCAGGTGGCTTTCTACTCACTATTCTTAATTATACTATTTACTCAACAAATCCGTTCTCACATGTCGATAATACAACGCATATTCTTATACATACTATAATATACTTGGTTTATACTCGTACATAACTTGGCTTCATTATTGCAATTATTTGAATTTAAAACGAAGAAATAAATCGCCTGTTTAGGAGCTGCATAATTTGGATAAGGTGCGAGTAAAGGTTGATATCTACTTGATTTGTATGTAAGTTTTCGTATCGGAACTTTGGTAAGGTTATAAAATATATTAATGTCACAAGTATGTATTTACAATCTGTCAATAGACGTTTCTGCAAGTAATCAATCAAATTGAACGAATCTTTAAAAAAAAATGTGTTATCTATAGAAATAAAAACTAAAATATTAACATAAAAGTATTTGTAGAGTATTTACATCTGAGAATTTTTTGGCTGTTTATTGAATGAGCATTCTTTAGGAGTACTAAAATATAATGCACCTGTAAAATAAATATTATTAGTATGTAATGTAGGTTACACTGCACTGGTGAGTAATCTTGTTAAGCTCTTTGGTAACATGATAAATGCAATGGAATTAAATGATGTGTTTATATTTTATTCGCCAGTGCCAAATATGATAATGTGCGAAAATAAAGCTAAACATTACTTTTAATGTTTGTATAGGTATTTGTTTGTTGTCTCTTTATAGGTACTGTTTGTAATTTGTACCTATGTCAACCAATTACATACAGAATATTAAATGAAGACCGTTAAAGTTCCCTCACGTATAGGTGGGATTCCTTAATACCATAAATATGTCTTATGTTGTTGCTATTTACAGTAATATTGAAGTCTTTTATATTTTCTGCTAAATTTATGTGAAGCTCTCCAATAGTTGTTTATGTACATATTATAGATTTTATTTGGATTAAATATTTAAAAATACTAAGAGAATATGTTTTTTTCATTTATTTGACACTTTATGTACAACTTATGCGACAGGTATTTTTTACACGCTGTATATTAGCTTCACTTGTATGTTTGTTTGTGACCGACTCATTTGGGCGTGATTTTGACTGACTCGTTCAAACTCGACCGACAGAACTCGTTCAAACTTTATAGATATATCGAGGACCGATGACAATACACTAATTAAAAAAATAGTTTAAAACCATTTTTTTTAAATATTTTTTTACTAGTCCACTTAGGGTGGTGCAGAAAATAGTGGTTTGCTTTGTATTAGATTTAAGTTAAAAAAAGCGTGGGGTGCTTTTTACTATTGACAACAGGCACCCAACGCTTTTTTTTCAAATTTATTAAAATTTATTTTCTATTTTTTAGTTTGGTTGCCTATAAAAAGCGTGTTTTTTAGTTTTTAAAACTATTATTTCTTCTAATATTTTTTTTATTAGTCCACTTAGGGTGGTGCAGAAATGAGTGGTTTGCTTTGGATTAGATTTAAGTTTGAAGAGATAAGTAATTAGTTATTAAGAATCAAGAAGACACATATGCAACTTCGTACACATATACCTAAAGATACATACATACATCTTGTTGTAATGAATCTGCCACGGTATACGAAATATAAGTGCTATCCTGTAACTTAGGGAGGTCGTTGAAACTCTTTAGAGCGATGCAACAGCGATGCAATCGCAATACGGCCACGATACAGTAATGTACCTTCCTCCGCCTACGTCTACGATTCTGTATTGCTACAAATTGTCGTAGTAGCGACACAGACGCTTGAAAACGAGCAGCTGGCACGTTACAATTTTTATACGATCATTGTTAACTAATTGATGATCCCAAATTAGGTGGAGGGTGTACTATCGTAATCAGATTGCTGATCCTAATACATATATACATATCACAGACAAATAACATTCACACACAGAACAAAATGATTGTGCATCACACAATTATTTGTTCGACAGTCAAGGTCACTGACCACTAAACCAAAGAGGTCAGTCAAAAAGTGTAAAAGCCAATGACTACGATTTGGAGATTTGGAGCATGAAATAGGTACATATGGTAAATAGTTATGGTTTTGGATTAGATCTAGATCTTTGTATAATTTGTAAAGGAATAAAACACGCAAATTGGACTACTTTTGGCGTTGCTTGAAACGTAGACTAGAATCCTCCAGTTTGATCTTGTTTTTATTCTGTCCATATATATGTACAAGCATGTAATGGGTAACTCATCAGAAGTTTTAAAGAGTATTTCTCGTTTCATTCTGTTTGATATTTCTATTCTTTTATTAAAAAAGACAACTCCCGCATTAGGAAGATATCCTGTGTCGCGGGGATTACAAATATATAAGAAACGGACAGAAAGAACACCCAGACTCAGAACAACAATTTGTGGATCACACAAAATGTCGTCCCATGTGGGGATCGGACACACAACACTCAGCGTAGCAGTGAGCGGCGTGGCGACCGCTTAAACCACTACGCTATCCGTGCATTCAAAATGCAGATATGAGTCTCGGACTAAAATACCTAATCCTATTTTTTATATTAGCCTATAGGTTTAGTTTTAAATGAAACTTTGCATTGTCCTCTTTTTATTCATATTTATTGCAGAATAGTAAAAAAAAACATGGGAAAAAAACGAATGATAAATCACAGTTTACTGTGTAAACTGTGATTTATCATTCGTTTTTTTGTACGTAGGTTAGGGTTGCTACTTACTCACGCGTTGTTGCCAATAAGCTGTTTTACGTTATTTAACAGTAAATCTAGTATTTTTTAAATTATTATGTAAGTAGCTATATATATAATAAAGTAATTACTAGATTTACTGTTAAATAGGTGAAATAGGGACTTTCTGCGTATTCTATAAACAGCTTATAGGCAACAACGCGTGAGAAGTAGCAATCCTAACCTACGTACGAAAAAATCGAATGATAAATCACAGTTCATTCAAAGCTCACTGTGATTTGACCCATGTCTACAGAATAGGGTATTTTACTCCATATGAGAAAAAATATAAATATATTATTGAGATAACTTAGGCAAAAAGCAGTTGGCAAATGTTAATTTTGGTTTATAAGATTTTTTTTGTATGTTAGAAGGGGCAGACGAGCAGACGGGTCATCTGATGTAAAGTGACCATCGCCGCCCATGAACGTCTCAGGAACGCCCACGAACTCAGGAGTCACAAACGCGTTGCAAACAAAACAAGGTTTAACAAAAAAAAACATTTTTTTAACAGGTCTAATATTATTTATTAATTAATTGTCCCTATATTCATAAAAATGAAAAATAGAGTGATGTTGGCATTTCTATTTTTAGCTTACTTCAAAAGAAGAAGGAGATTTTCATTTCATAGCAACTTTCATTTTTCTTACGTATGCTACTATAATTCAAAATAGTTTAGACACCTTGAATTAATTCTGTTCATAAAAGATAATTATTTTAGTTTTTCATGACCAATCATAAATATATATACTTTTATATTATTAATAGGTTTCACAGGTTTATATCGCTTACGTCATTGTTAAACCTTTATTAAACCCAGACTTTAGACACCGATGCTAATATATAATAGCTTTTCGTCCCTAGCTACCTATGTACCTTTTTAGGTATACGAGTATGTATCATCAAATTTTTGGTGCTCTCGACATATAAAATAAGTAACTTGCAATGTCAAGTACAGGGGGTTTTATATTTCCTAATTAGTTAGAGGTATAGGTAAGTTGTACTGTGAAGAACATCTAGATGGATCGCTTGCGGTTAACCGCATGACGTGATTGATTATTACACTACACATATAGAGTATTATTGTTGAACCTTGCAAGAGCATGAATATCTAAAGGAAAGTAATATCTTGTGTTGATTTATACAAGTAACTGACCTGACTGATAACCCATGCACTAGTTAGCGTTGCAAGGCACGGCACTGTCCAATAATGTACATTATTGTACATACGTATCTAAGTAAACGACCAGCGCATATCTTGTACATTGACTCTGTTTCTATGGACTGTTTATTTTATATTTAAATTTATGGCTACTATTTCTGCAATTATTATTTAGTATATTCAATGATAATGTAAATAAGACTATTTTCGGAGTATTATTTGAATAAACACATTCACGTAACTCCCCAATGTACGTCAAACTTGAGTTTAAAGATCACAATTGTTCCTAAATAGAAAATAATAGGATCAAATCGTATCGTATTGAACCAATTGATTAATATGTCATTTCTCATAATGTTTAGCTTATATGGAAAAGGCCAAAATGATTGGCAATCGTTATATTGATTTATTTATTTGGTTTAAATCAGTGTTGTTTTGGCATATCAGTTGTCTTGTATAGTGTAATGTACAATTCTAATTTTTCTAAAGATGAAAACTTAATACAAAAAGTTCTTAATCTCATATTAATATCATTTTTTATAGTACACACACACTTTTATAATTGCAGGAGCATTGAGCAGAGAAAAACTCAGAAAGGCCACCTTTTTTGCCACATTGCTTTATTTTGTTAGAACTGTGGCACGTAAAGCTTAATTGGTTTATTGATAAAAATTTTGAAGGTCTCCTTAAAAACTGTAGGTATCACTAACAAATTAGTATTAACATATACTCGTATGTAGATTTGTTTTGTACACTTGGGTGATAATGAAACATGAATTGGTAGGTATACATATAAGGCTGAGAGCTTTGTTATTCTTGTTTCATACATTTTTTTTTGGCACCAATTTTACACCTGTTGGGTTTTTTTAAGAATTGCTATAGAACTACGAACGAGAAACATGGTATTATTCAAGTGTTATTTAGCGAAGTAAGCATCGCAGTCGATGAGCGATCCTTAATTTTAATCTTTCATAATACGCGATATTTCAATATGTAAATGTATACTTAATAGTTTTTAGCAATAATTAAGTTAATCGCATTCTACATACCCTTTTGTCAGTCTCACTACCCAATCTACAAAAGCTTTAAGTATCATATTACGATTTGTCACTTAGTACGTTCTAGTCTTAGGACGTTCTAGTACTTATACCATAATACACATGTCACTATATCTGTTTGAAACACCTTTATTGTTGACTAGTTAGCAGTTACGGAAGTGAGTCATCTTAGATTTCAGGTTTTTTTAGAGTTCCGTAACTCAAAAGGAAAAAACGGAATCCTTATAGGATCACTTTGTTGTCTGTCTGTCTGTCAAGGCACTGTATCTCGGTAACGCGTGGAGGTCTCGAGTTGAAATGAAAACCATGTACTTAGCTTACTGTGAAATTTAGCAAGTGATGTGAGTGCCCTTCCAGGGTTAGGGGCATAGAGTTTCGAAAATCTGACTCACAACACCGGTTTTGTGTAAGGCCATGGTCGGTTATGATGAGTTTAAAGGAAACGATGAATTTACTTCAAAACTATCCTAGAGATTTAAACCGACAAGAACGGTCACTACATTTCTTATAATAGTAAGGGTTATCTACTATCTACATTTAAAGAAATGTAATAAAACATAGCGTACACGAAGTAAATCACATCATCCATGTCGTTTAATTTGTTTACCCACTCCATGTACTTCCCAACGCGTGCTTTTTATTAAGATTATAAAACATTCTTGAATTACCAAAATCTGATTTTAGCAATTATACGCTGAATCATAGTCTCGCATACCTTCCCTTGTATCTGAAAATATCATACTCTGGAAGTAAACAGTGTTCTTTTTTTAAATCTTAAGCATAGTGATACTTTTGAAATCATTAAAAACCAAAAAAAAATGTCACTTGCATGGATAGTCTAGTAGTCACCACACCAACAACTTTACCAGCAAGTGTTCTAGAGGCGATAACCAGTTCACAATTAGTCCAGTTCGCAATTGGTCTAGTTTGCAGAATGTCCAGTTCGCAATTGGTTCAGTTTGCAGAATGTCCAATTCTCTATTGGTCCAACTCACAATTATTCCAGTTCGCAATTAATCCAATTCGCAATTGGTCTAGTTCGTAATTAAGGGCTTGTAGTAAGGAAACGGTATCATTATTGCGACCAACAATGAACTGCTTGCGTGGTAGTAGTTGAACCAATTCCACTAGTTCTTCAAGTTTCAGTCAAAAACAACTTTCGTAATCATGGACGCCCCTTAATTTCGAACGATGACTTGGACCAATTGAGAATTGGACAGTTGGAAATTTTGCGAATTGGACATAATGCGCCCAAACATAAGTTTCCTTTAATTACCATGTTTGTTTCTAAAATACTAAACTGTTATATTGTGGTGATAATATTCAAATATATTTATGGTTCTGGGTTTTCAGGAGAATCAATTTATAAGGAAAATTTGTGACTAAGTCCTTGGTCTCATAAATTAGTAATTTAAGTAGGGCGAGGACTATGTGTATGAGTATGTGTTTATTAAGTTTTAGCAGTAATAATATCTTTATAACAATCCCTATGATTGAAACGAAGCAGGAAAACATATATGGTTTGCTTAAAAAGCAAAGCATTAAACCGCTAGGTAAAGCATCGTGTTGGAAACTAATAGTGCGCTATTCTTGTCAAAACGTAATGGCGAAGTTTTTTCTTCGTCCTCGAAGTGCTTAATCTAATCAGCTGGGTCTGGTCTATTACAGGTAAATTCCCCTAAAACTGTAACTGTTACTATTGACACGGTTTTGTTTTAAATCTGAAAGTTTCCTTGCTCAATTCTTCTTCTTGTTTCAAAATCAATAAACGGTATAAACGGTATCAAGCTTAGTTTTTATCTTAACCGATACAAATGCATGGCACATCGCGATAGCGCTTTTTTGTGAAAAAAAAGTTGTGTCTCAGTTTACTATCTATACTAATATTATAAAGCTGAAGAGTTTGTTTGTTTGTTTGTTTGTTTGTTTGTTTGAACGCGCTAATCTCAGGAACTACTGGTCCGATTTGAATAATTCTTTCAGTGTTAGATAGCCCATTTATCGAGGAAGGCTATAGGCTATATATCATCACGCTAAGAGCAATAGGAGCGGAGCACCAATGAAGAATGTTTCAAAAACGGAGAAAATTTATTACTATTGAGAGACGCAGACGAAGTTGCGCGGGTCAGCTAGTAATAAATATGAAGCAACATGTTCAGTACTAAATGGATTTAAGTATATTTAAAGAATATTTATAGATATAGGAAGTACTGAAAAATGAACTTGTTAAGCATAACTTAATGTGTACATGTTTATTAATATTTTAAAATACTACTACTACTACTACTACTCATTCAGTAGTTATTTACTGCTGCTTTGTGACTACCCTTCACCAACATTGTGACGCACGTCATTTTCCCACTTTGCGATTGACCACAATACGTCATAGATTTTTGTTCTTACCAAATACATAACTGATTGGTCGTCACGCAACTCATATTTTACCTTTTCAACAAACAACAATTATTTTTAGGCTTATTGTGTAGGAAAATAGGTATTGTTGAGAAGCATAACACCTACGTAATGAATAATAATATTTTTTATTTTGGTTGCCCGAAAAGTACCTTAATATGGAAATATTATAATTTTATATCCAAACAATATTCTGTTTATTCATGTAAAACTTAAGATAATATAAGAAAACATTCCTTTGACGATGTGAGTGCATGTGTCATCATCATGATGACGTGGTGTGTGTGTGTTTGTGTGTAAAAGTTCTTGGTGGTAAATATAAGACCTTACATGTTCTCGTTCATAATGAGACTCAGGCAGAGAATAGATTCTTGCTCGGACACTAGCAGATTGCTCTTATACAATCCCAAGTTTGTCAACGCATCGAATACAGACAAACAATCACGTATGAAAACAAAGATTTAGTTTACCCCCTAAATTACAGTAACTATACTCGTAAAGTGTAAAACATGATTTTCAAAAATATGACCACTTTTTTTGCGGTTGTCAAGTCTGACATTCAAAATGTCACAACACCCGTTTTGGGATGACGATTTTTAACAAGCCACTCTACGTACGACTACTGAAAGATGGTGATGCTTTATGACCATTTTTCAGTTTAAACTTACTTTTATGGTGATGGGATTCTCGTATATTTTTATTGAGGCGTGGTAAGCTCTATCATAACTAATCCTTGCGGATGCGGGGATTATAATAAATACGAAGTAATAGGTTTATATTTTGTTATTTTTTATTATAATACCTAAGTGCTAAAACACGTTATGTAATATTTGTTCATTTTTAAAACCTCCTATACTAATACCTACTACGTAATTTCTAATATCAATAATAATATCCTGGGACAAGTGATGCGATACAGATGACTTTCACACACGGATACACATTTTTGTAAATATATAGATATTATACTACTCTGTCAAGAAAGTACCGGGGAAAGATCAATAATAGACAAAATGTTTGTTATTCATCCAAATTTATTTTATCACCTTGAAAATATGCTCCTTTAGAAACGATACACTTACGCCAACGAATAATCCAATCATCAAAACATTTTTTAAACGCTGTTTGCGGAATTGAGTTCAGTTCTTGCCGCGAATTCTCCTTTATGTCTTCTACGGATTGAAAACGGGTGCCACAAAATAGTAATTTGAGTTTAGGAAAAAGAAAGAAGTCGGCTGGAGCCATATCTGGTGAATATGGTGGTTGCCCGATGGTATTTGATAATTGTGTTCTAAAAAATTCGTTCACAATTATGGCCTTGTGCGAAGACGCATTATCGTGGTGCAAAATCCAAGAATTTTCTATCCACAAATCTGGCCTTTTTCGTCGAATTTGCTCTCTTAAATGCCGCATACCGCTCAAATAATATTCTTTATTTACCGTTTGACCTTCCGGCAAGAATTCCGAGTGCACAACACCGCGATAGTCAAAGAAAACAGTCAACATGACTTTGACTTTTGATCGACTTTGCCGTGGTTTTTTCGGCTTTGGTTCAGTTGGAAGACACCACTCCGAAGAATGTTGACTAGTTTGCATGTCAAACTCGTAAACCCACGTCTCGTCACTAGTAACAATGCGTTTCATGAATGTTGGGTCGGAATTGACTCGTTCTAGCATGTCCTGAGCGACTCTCATGCGATTGAGTTTTTGGAGAAAATTCAGGTCTTTTGGGACTAGCCGAGCGGTAACATGTTTCATACCCAGATGATTAGTTAAAATGGTACGAATCGACTCGTGAGATACAGAAAGTTCGGCGGCTATCTCTCTCAAAGTTAAATGAGGATTTTCAGTCACTGTTTCCTTCCCTATTCCGATGTCAAATTCAGTTGCAGACGTTGATGGCCTACCAGAGCGAGGCAAATCTTCCATCACATCTCGACCGCTTTTGAACGCTTTGTACCACTCATAAGCACGTGTTTTTGATAAAGTAAACCGTAAGCCTTCTATAACATTTTCAGTGCCACCGAACACGAAATTCCATTGACGATGCAAAATCTGAGACAAACTCTATGTTCAATGTTTTGTCCATTATGAAATTCGCAATATACACTAGATATAATATAACTGAAATCAGCACTGAATTTAATATAAATAACAGATGGAACTCAAACTCCGCGCCAAAATGGACAACAGTTGTGCCAATCTAACACCAACAAAAAAAAACAAAAATTTGAATTTGGAACCATAAACAAATCATCCATTCCCGATACTTTTTTGACTGAATGTACATTAGAACATCTAGTCTATGCAGAGATTCTACTTACACTAAACTAGAAGCTAACCGGCATGGCAATCGCGTAGACTGCCGTCACACCACCGAAGACGTCACTTGTCTTCTTTAAGACTAGTAGACCCGCGGACTAGGATGTCATTAAATATCTCTGACGATAACATGAAGGGTACGCTTTGATAAAATCTGCTGGTCCTCGGTTCAGTTATGTAATAAAATGGTTGTCTAGTTTTAAGAGGCAAAGTGTTCGTTGTTAGAATTTAAAACTAGTGGGATAAATGGAAAACTCAGAAGGTCATGATGCTTAGCGATTCCGCTTCTTCAAAATATTTCTTA